CTTCCAACCCAAACCATTCTATGATCTGTTAACCATGTAGTCCTCAGCTGGATTAACTAAAGCCTCTAGAATGCAGATGAACAGTTTGTAAAGTCTCTCTAGATGCTATGATTCACTCAAAACCTTCCCCACTAAGCCAATCTATTGCTCAATGCCTACCTATCAGCATGCCACAGGAAGCATTCCCGTCAAAAAAAGAAACTCATTGTTGTTTCAGTAATACTGAAGAGTTTTGAGGGCAAGAACAATGACTCATTCCTAGGCACTCATGTGAAATAGTAATAGCTCCTGGCCACCTCGCTTCTTCCATACCTCAATTCTCACTTTTCCCCATTTCTTTCCTCACCTTAAGACTCTAGCTAGTGAATACACTAGGAGATAACTACTTTTTAGACTGGAAAAGAAGATGTAGATAAATTCCAGGTACTGTGTATTTATACATAAAGTTTTTTTAAAAAAAATGGCTTCTGCATTGTATTAATAAATTAATAATTTTTTTCGGGGGTAATTTGAGGAATTGTTAGACAAAAATGTAACAGGAAGAAATATGCTACATTTAAAAAAAATTATAACAGCACTTCTGTAAATAACCTTTTAAAAGGTAGGTGTAGCAATATTAGTTTCACAAACATGTAAGAACCTAGATGTTTTATAATCTTTAAAACCTGAAAGAACTCAATGTTGCATTGAATATAAACTTCTTTCTTTTGAAATCGAATGTAGATTATAACATATCCTGGCCTGGAAAAATCAACACTTACAGCATTTCTTCTGCTACTTCAGACTACATATCCCTTAAGAGCAGTACAAGTCATTTCAGTATTCCAGAAGTCACAGGGCTGCCAAGTTTTCATTTGGCTTGCAAAAAAAATTTACTAGAGAAAAGCTGAAGTATTCCAGGACGGGTCTACCTTGGTACATGCTCCCCTCCCTTCCTTACCATATCTACTCTAAAAATATTTCAATCCATTAGATGTAAGGCATATCTAAACCTATTCATATTTGATATTTCTAAATCCAGTCATAAAATTCTGTGTAGGTATTCCAAGATCTGGTATGTAATTTACGCAAAACCTAAGCTGCTCTTAAATTAAAAGTCCTACTAATTTTTTGTGCATACCACAGGATTAGACATAATAATTTTTATGCTGTGAGGAAAGGACTACTGTAGGCTTTGGATGAAGCCTCTAGTCAATAGAACAGGTCTCACCAACACAAAAAAAGAAAAAGATTGGCACTATCAACTCTAATGCTGAGATTAATTAATTTTTGAGGTTTAGAAAACACACTCTTAGCGCTCTTTAATTTTTCTTAGCGTTAAGTACAAGAAATGCCAAAGAGTCTAGTGGTGGCAGCATCTCACCTGTGTCTCCAAGTTCATACAGTGTAAAGCCATCTACATTAAGATAACCTTGAAATCTTTCTCTGTTTATCCAGGATGACAAATCACCATCTTCATACTCTAAAAAAAAAAAAACCCATGAAATTATTTTTTTTTTTGTGTAAGCTGGACAGATTTATTTATTTCAGTACTGTAGAGGCAAATGCTATTTTTTCCCCCCTTCTTTCCTTTTATTGTCATTAGACAAGATCTCACACATTTCTGGACATTTCAGTTTTAAAACTTCTAAAACTTTTTGTTCAACAATTGAAAATAGCAAGTGTATTATAGCTAAGCATAGAAAGCTGATTTGATGATTTATTTTTTCCCCAAATCAAGGATAAACAATACTATTCTAGAAGACAACTGTGACCCAGTGCAGAAAGGAACATTTTCAATCCCTGTTTTTAAAGGGAGGGAAGGAGTCAAGTTTCTAACAAAGGAGATGCAAAAATACAGAAAGCAGTACTTGTGAGAGTCCTTAAATAAAACAGAAGGAATTCAAGAAAAAGTAGGTGTACAGCATTGTGAATGTAAATGACCAAATATTTACATATGATTCAAAGTCAGTTATACTGAAGGCTACAGTTTCAGATGCTAGATGTTTTAACCTGTAAAGAATCAAATTCTAACACATACCACCAACACGATCAGAATTAGATCTTCATAACAAGTAAAAAAGAATGCATATAAACATATACATGATGCACATATACACACACATATAAATACACATTAAATAAATGTGTGTTAAATCTTATTCTATAGAGTAAATTATCAATAACTTCAGGTTAACAATTAATTGTCATAAGACTGTAGCAAGCAATTCCAAGCATAAAGCCTCCCATAGATCTGGATTCCATTCCTCTACTATGGGGAAGAAAAAGATCAAAACAAAACACCAGACAAGGCCAGAGCATTGAACTGGATTTTGCTAAACCTTTTTCTTATACTGAGCTCTTCAAATTTCTGCCCAGGCATAACAGCTGCACATATAACCTTATCCAGTCTCTTATACTGCGTCTTTATAACTTTGATTTACAATAATGTTTCTAGCACATTATAAAAGAGTAAAATTTTTACAAAGTAAATTAGAAGCCTGGATTATTATGAGTTTTGTGTTTGTTTTGAAAGGCATGACAAAAGCAAGTTGGCCACACAGCAAAAAGCAATGCAGAAGTGCTTCTCTTTGACAATCTCTCCTTCTCCATGCCATTTAAAAAAAAATAAAAAAAAAAATAAAAAAAAAAGGCAAATCAAGGGGGCTGTAGAGTCAATTTTTATCTGAAGGATGATTGGCAAGGCAACAGACTGAAGAGGAGGACAAGTACAGCCATTCTATGAAATCACAAAGAATATCCTTGATGGCCCATCTGGAGTATTTTGCCGTGGTACTACTGATCCTCAGAAATCAAAACAGCAGCATAATCTTCTGAGTGATATGTTTTCAACTTAAAGTAAAAACTTGCATTTAAAACAATCTAAATCAAGAGCAGATGTTTTAGTAAATAAGTTGTGTACCTATAAGCCAACCTATGATACACAATATAAGTACGTGTGTGTACGTGCACCTAATAGACTATAACGCATGGGCTTTAGCGTATACTCAGTATAATCTAACACTTACATATGGATATCCACACATATGGATATCCACTTTTTATCTAAATGGCAGGCATACTGCTGCCAGTGGTGTTATGAAGCACTACTAGTCTCAGGTGGCCGTTCTACAGCCTACATGCTGAACAAGCCAGTTCAAGTAGTTTATCCCACCTAAAACTGCTTATCAACTGCTCGAGTGACAGCAATCCATATCTCCTTAACCTCTTTTTGTGAGGGACACTTTCAGGAAGGGAAAAACAGACTGAATGGTCAACCGTTCTACGTATGCATAGTACACTATGCCAGTTACATAGGGAGAGGTTACTCTGTCTGATCCTTTCCCACTACCAATACCCAAGTAACACAAATGTGAAAATCACATATGGTCAAAGCTATTGGTTAAGGCCCTCCAAATTTTAATATAATTTTAATAAATGCAGAATCAGTTTCCTGTTCCTTCACAGTTTTTGAAGGAAGGCTGCTGTACTAAGAAAGTATATAGCCTGTATTGCCAAGGCACAAAAAGCTCAAACTGGACCCTTTTATGCAATCTCTGGGCAGAGTACGCATCTGAAAAAAATCAAGTTAACTTCAAGAGAGAGAGATCTGACTGTCAGGAAGAGTACTTAGAGAAAATTAACTAATTAACTGTTTGGAACTGTAAATTCATCTTATGAGTGAATCCTCTTCAGCAAGAGTTTTCTTCTGTTTTGTGTATAACAAATTTGGACAGTAAGTGAAGGGATAACTTTTATAAATGCATTAATGTCAGCAAAGCAATAATATTAGAAGCTACATCTTGCTGGTAACACAAAGCAAACGTCATCACTTCTACTTTAGTGTTGCTAAAACCAATTCCTTCTCAAATGCATTTTGTTCCATAAGAACTAATTAGTTTTTTTCTTCTTCTTCACGAGGGAACTATTATTTAATCATAAAATTGGGGAATTTCCAGCACCCCAACACAACATCCAAAAAATCCCAACTGTTCCAGTTTCTCCATATATACTTTAAATATCTAATGTTAAGGCAATGTCCACATTTACTTACCATCATAAACAAAGTAAGTTCCGTCTTTGAAGACCACAACAGCAGGCAATTCAGGCAACGTCACATACTGAAAGAGGGGTTTTTCAAGTAATCCATGGAAGATTAAAAGATTTTTAAACAAACAAATCTTAAAATGTGGAAATGTAGTCCATGGGGAAAATCTCAAAGTACATTTAAATGTTTTCTGTCTATGTTTACTAAAATAAATTTAACAGCTTTAACATATTAAAAAGTAACACAACACAAATATATTTTTGAGAGGTAGGTCTCACAAAGTGTAAATGAAACAGGATGCATGTAGCATGCAGTAGCATGAAGAATATTTTATTGATTGGACATGAACTTTAGATAGGAGATCGTAACTTGAGGGTTTCATCAATCATACTCTTTGTTCCCAATCTGTGCTGTTGTCAGCATACCTGTCATATCGTTACTTCCACTAAATGGACAGTCAATATTATAGAGTAAAATAGTAACATTGACAACATGTCCCACTAAATCTGGGCTATTTCTCATGGTTCAGGCTGATGGGAATATAAAGACACAGCTTCAGCAGACAGGGTTGCAAACAGCCCTAATTTAGGCAAACAGAACAATGAATGCCTGCATTACCATCCTTAACATGGTATTTAGGATGGTCAGCACCACACTCAAAAAAAAATACAGGGTGTAGAAACCTTTCCCTCGGAACTTAAAGGAATCTTATTCAGCTCATGTTTTCAGTAAACTACCACAGAAGAAATACAGCATCTACTCCTTACTGCTTCCTACCATTCCAAGTTAAAATTCTAATAGCATTTGTGGTTAAGAAAGGACTGTATCATGAGCTTAGTTTTGATGAAGACATTGGCCGAATTCTCTAATTTACTGGTATGTTTGAGAAACATAAGGCTTTTCTAAATGACATGCCTTCTGTAATCATTCTGCGTGATCTTTCTTGGAAATAAGTTTTTAAAAGCAGTAGGTTTATAATGTCACAGCTCATATGAATGAGCAAGAAGGTGATAATTCTAGATGATGCTTTATTCTTTTATTTGCCCAAAATATAGTTTAGTATCTTTAAAGGGCAAATCAATCCATGTACAGCTTATGGTTTGCAAAAGATGCCTGAAGATTACCTAAGGTGACAAAACAAAGCCTAACAGCGAATACTGCCATGCAGAGCCTCATTACAACTAGCAACCAGTGATTTCATAATATTTTTGCTTCTCTCCATAGAATATTGCATACCATCACTGTTTCATTTTAAATATTTGTGAGAAATTACATTCGGTGGGAAAAACAGCTCACTGCTTACATCACTGTGATCACAGCATCTCAAAGAGTTCCAGCCTTT